TCTACATGACAACTAAGCAACTAATAAAATAACAATAACTCGGTAAATAATACCGGTAACCTTACGGTGACACTCATTATGAAATATTTTTAATCGACTTTTAAAGAGTAGGTTGGCGTGAATTTACTGGGTACAGAGGAATAACACCTGAGTCCTCAGGAATGGCAACGCATGCGGGGTATCATGGGCGAAACAGTATACTCTGTTATGTCCATGGTACTGCTCATGTCTATAGGCGACGGTTACTACTTTCCATCAGGTGGGCCGTCAGCTTGTTTGCTATTCTAAGTTGTATAAAAAATATATGGCAATATCTATACACTGTTCCAGTAACGAATATGTTAAAAGTATGTTATCCAAAAAAATTATATTGGATAACTGACTTTTAACCGTCGCATATAGACATACTATGACCATAACAGAATATACTGTTTCGCCCATGATACTCCCCATGCGTTGCCATTCCTGAGGACTCAGGTGTTATTCCTCTGTACCCAGTAAATTCACGCCATATCCCACCTTTCAAACCGAAACACACCCATGCAAACACAACTGCTTCACGGTTAAAACACGAATGCGACAGAGGTACCCAAGCAATCGACTTTTGTACCAAGTCTCCCTCTGGTAAAATATTCTGGTAAGATATCTCTGGTAACATATTCAAAGATAGATATCCTACCGATGTCGGGCGATATCGGAATGAGTGATGACCTTTCTCTCGCCATAAATGTCCAGAGGAATCCGATATATAGATATCGGATCGGTATTCATATTACTCAGGCCTAGACAACCTCCTGATAAATGTAGAATCAGGATCTATACTACTAAATCCCTACTCTATTTTTCAAATGAAGCATTTTAGACTTTTAATTCTACAATAAGATTGTCCCCTAAAAAACTGACTTCATTGTGGCTGAACCATTTTAATAAATAAACCACTGAAGCCTTTTTGATAAAATTTGTATGAAACTAATCTATAAGTATTTCCTTTCAGATAAAAAAAAAGAATTTTCTGAATAGGTTTACAACTGACGGAGATACGAGATAACAAACGTTAAAAAAGAAATAAATATAATATTTTGATAAATTTTCTATGAGCCCCAAATTGGTAAGTATATCGTTTCAGATAAGAAACATCAAAATCAATTTAGAACTGAAAAACTGACTTCATTGTGGTTGAACCATTTTAAAAAATAAACCACTGAAGCCTTTTTGATAAAATTTGTATGAAACTAATCTATAAGTATTTCCTTTCAGATAAAGAAAGAATTTTCTAAATAGGTTTACAACTGATGGAGATACGAGATAACAAACGTTAAAAAAGAAATAAATATAACATTTTGATAAATTTTCTATGAATCCAATTTGTAAGTATATCGTTTCAGATAAGAAATATCAAAATCAATTTAAAACTGATGGGGTTATGAGGTAACAAACAAAAAAATACAATCGAATTGAGAATCTCGCCCTTTCTGATGTCGACTAAAAAGCGCTTTATACAACTGGCATTCAGCATATATTTTTTAATGACAATAATTGTTCAGCTAAAGTTGTACACAGTACAAACTTCGTGAAAGCAAAGCTGAACTGTAAACAGGCATAGGCCCACGAGACGTACGTGTGCCAGTACAAATGTACGCATCTCTGGTATCCGAGACTTAAATTATCTTCAAAAGTTGTGTATTACGACGACAAAAGATGCGGGATAACGTCTCGAAAACAAAGCCATGCGTTTGTGCTTCGAGAGGCGTGCAGTGGAATTTTTAAACGACTTTAAAAACACGATACGAGTATAACGTGACCATTTTTTTTACCGAATAGCATATTTGTTTGAGACAAAATTGTAATTTAATTTGAAGATACCCTATTTTAGTAGCATAGAACATGTTGTTTACTGAATTTTGTACTATTGTAATCTACCAGAGGGAGACTTTGTACAAAAGTCGATTGCTTGGGCACCTCTGTTCCATACGTGTTTCAACCATGAAGCAGTTGTGTTTGCATGGCTCTGTTTCGGTTTGAAGGGTGGGATATGGCAGTGAATTTAGAGGGTACAGAGTAATAACACCTGAGTCCTCCGGAATAGCAACGGTATCATGGACGAAACAGTATACTCTGTTATGTCCATGACACTGTTCATGTCTATAGGCGACGGTTACCACTTTCCATCAGGTGGACCGTCAGCTTGATTGTCATTCTAAGTTGCATAAAAAAAAAAAATACCGAGACTGCACGAAAATATGTATCTATTTAAAGGCATTTATGTCTAAGAGGCCTAGCTTGTATCCCGGGGTTTGTTTTTTTATCCGACAAGATCTAATAGAATAGTCCCTGAGAAATTTTATCAAAACCGGATTAATACTTTAGTTCTTAAATTGGAATAACTAACTCGTTTTGCCACAATTGGAACCGGTTTTTTTATTTGTGGGACGCAATCTTTAATTATATTGGAGTATTACGTATATCTTCAACACTCTTTTTTATACAACTTAGAATGGCAAACAAGCTGATGGAAAGTGGTAACCGTCGCCTATAGACATGAGCAGTACCATGGACATAGCAGAGTATACTGTTACACTCATGATACCCACCATGCGTTGCCATTCCTGAGGACTCAAGTGTTATTCCTCTGTACCCAGTAAATCCACGCCATATCCCACCCTTCAAACCGAAACACAGCCATGCAAACACAACTGCTTCACGGTAGAAACACGAATGGGACAGAGGTGCCCAAGCAATCGACTTTTGTACAAAGCCTCCCTCTGTTTGTTAGTAATGAAACCAGTTTATTATTGTTAATAGTATTTTTATCATGTTTACATTAGCACGAGTGTTTATCAATAGCTGATTGAAGGCCGTATGACTAACTTGACATTGGTACGGAACTATAAACACTCCCAAATCTACAAAGATCTGAAATTTGAATAAATAAAATTAAAGTTGGAAAGGTAAAATGTCAATTTGGTTAAAGTGTTGTGGCCACTTTGGTTGATATTTGTTTATTTACTTGTAACAGGATACCTGACGCTTATCGGGGGGAAAGGGATTGTTAGCAATGGAGTTCCATATTGCTAGCAATATGCCAATATCAGGTCGACCTCCACGTGGTTCCCCCTGGAAACCATCGTGAACAATTCTTGTTGAATTCGTCACGGTGGGCTAACTGATCTGCTTCATCCTCATCTAACATCCTTCACTGGTGATCCACCGGTGTATATCGATAGCGCGGGTGGGGTTACCATTCCATTATTACTCATTGAAAAAAAAATTTACGCTTATTTACATAAAAAATAACTATAAAATGAAGCCACTTATAGATTTTCACCAATAGAGTTGTTTTATTTTATTTTTTCTCTTTCGAGTGGTATATTTAATAAAGGAATCTGAGCAATTGGTGGCGATTTGGCCAAAACAAAAATTGACCAATAAATTTTAACCACAGAAATTAAAATCACATGTATTCTGGGATGTCAGTGACGCTGATCATGACGATTGTCACTTTAAGTTAGGTGGCTTAGCTTCCGTCAGCTTGTTTCCCATTATAAGTTGCATAAAAACATATAAGTAAATAAACTAAATGCATTCGGGTGGTCATAGCCAAAATACGGTACATTAATGACGCTCCCTTTCTCCCCGACGCAATATGTCGGGGAGAAAGGGATTGTTAGTAATAGAGACTAACTGACCCATTGCCAGCAATATCATCAGGTCGACCTCCATGCGGCTCCCTCTGGATATCATTGTATTTAATTCTAGTGGACTTCGTCACGATGGGTTAACTGACCTGCTTTTATCGTCACCTATTATCCCTCACTGGTGCCTTGCCAGCGTATACCGATAGCACAGGCGAGGTTGACGGCGAGGAATGGCAAACAAGCTGACGGCTCACCTGATGGAAAGTGGTAACCGTCGCCTATAGATATGAGCAGTACCACGGACATAATAGAGTATACTGTTTCGCCCATGATACCCCCCATGCGTTGCCATTCCTGAGGACTCAGGTGTTATTCCTCTGTACCCTGTAAATTCACGCTTATATATTTTTATTATTGAATATGTTACAAGCTAAACTCCACTATATTATAAGGGAACATGGCTTGTTTTTATTAAAAATATATTTTATATATTTATTTCAATAACTACATATTTTTATAATGTTTGTTTTAAATGATTATCAACCGTTTCAAATGGTTATCATTATTTTACCATCCTTAACACTCGCAGGTAAAACTAGCTGCAGTTGTTACCCCCACGTATCGGTCTTTCAACCCGCGTCTGTCCTCCTCGCACCTACAAACTGCCCGTATGTTGCATCTCACCCGTGCACGCGCTGCCGAATGTCACGTAGGCAAAACTTGGCATCGCATTACGTTTTTATCAGTTGAATTAAGTAACCTATTTAACTTTCCTTGTTTATTTATAAAATTAAAGCTACATTTCACTATCGTTGCAAGGTTTTGTTTAGAAGCCAAATGGCTGAAACAAAGCCTTACCATAAACTGCAGTTTTATAATAGTTTTTTTTTTTATTTTTAATTTTATTCTATCTTTATTTGGTCTCCCAGAAATTGTTACAATGATAAGATTTATTATTAAGATTACTATCTAACATTACTATACATTACCAGAGGGAGACTACAAAAGTGGTCTGCTTGGGCACCTCTGTCCCATTCGTGTTTCAACCGTGAAGCAGTTGTTTACATGGTTGTGTTTCAGTTTGAAGGGTGAGACAGGCAGTGAATTTACAGGGTACAGAGTAATAACACCCGAGTCCTCAGGAATTGCAACGCATGGGGGGTATCGTGGGCGAAACAGTATACTCTGTTATGTCCATAGTACTGCTCATGTCTATAGGTGACGGTTACCACTTTCCATCAGGTGAGCTGTCAGCTTGTTTGTCATTCTAAGTTGTATAAAAACATCTATTCATACATAGTGTATAATCATTTTAGGGGAAACACAGCATGCTAATTAACTTTATTTTAAATAAATCATACTGAATACATTAAAAGATTTAATATACAATAATAACAATTTAATATATAATATTATATTATATTTTATATACACATAATATTGTATTTTAAACATAATATTCAATCGTATCTGCCCAGCCCATAAGGGACGCTGCGTGAATATAGCATCAAAAATGTACATTTATCTACAGTGAATACAAACAAACAATATCAAGATCATTATTGGAATGTCGTTTAAATATTAAAACTTAATTGTAACTTAAAAACTTAAATACACTTATCTATGGAATAAGCAGACTTTAAAAATTTACCTTCATATTAATTACTTAAGTATCAAATTTCAGTGCAATCATAATAAAACACATGTAATTTAAGATTAGTGTACCAGAAACTTCATTTTCAAACATTACATGACAAAAATAAATATTTTTATTTTGAAAATCCAGTTGTTTAGATTTACAATGAAAAAAAGAATTAAAATGAAAAACTAAACTTCCAAATCGATTTTGAAAAATTTCAATACTACAATACCAATTTGAAAGTAAATCCTTACAAATAAAAGAAAGGTTTCTCCAAATCAGTTCAGGCGTCTTCGAGTGATTGGTAAACATACAAAAAACAAGAAAGATTTGAGGACCGCCGTTTTTTGAAGTCATTTAAAAATCATACACGCTATAGTGCACACGTGTTTTGCAAGTACACTGTACAAGTATACAATTTTGTTTTTTACCAGAGGGAGACTTTGTACAAAAGTCGTTTGCTTGGATACCTCTGTCCCGTTCGTGTTTGAACCGTAAAGCAGTTGTGTTTGCATGGCTGTGTTTCGGTTTGAAGGGTGGGATATGGCGTGAATTTACTGGGTACAGAGGAATAACACCTGAGTACTCAGGAATGGCAACGCATGGGGTTATCGTAGGCAAAACAGTATACTCTGTTATGTCCATGGTACTGCTCATGTCTATAGGCGACGGTTAGCACTTTCTATCAGGTGGCCCGTCAGCTTGTTTGCCATTCTAAGTTGCATAAAAAATACAAAGGGAAGTATGAGTACTTATTAATGTAAGTCTTTATAAAAACTTAAATACTAAATAAAATTCATTGAGCGTCACCATTATTCAGAACGGCAGACGCGATCAAACTGACAATTTGTGGTTGCAGAACTATGGCTTTCTTCTGAGGCAGCGTCCGCAGAAGGGCTGCTATATATTTACCGAAACTATCAAAGCAGTCTTCACCCACTTTTGTTTCCATAGAATCAGTAAGTAGCTCATTTTCTTCCATTCGAAGCCTCTTCGACGATGCCACAGACCAATCCCGAGCTCTTTTCACAGCTTTGCCTGCTGACGATTCGGAGTCGTTCTCGCTACCTGTGTCGTCTTGACTGGACCCGGGTACAGATAATAAATCCGCTGTTACATTTTTGGACCATATTGAATCGTCGGAATCATCGACTGTTTCCGTTTCCCTCTTCACCACACCATTGTTTATTACCTGAAAAACGTATATGTTAATACGTTATGTAAATGTTATGTTAAGTTATGAGTCATGTACTGTGAAGTCAAGGTTAATGTGCAGTGTTGAAGAAAATACGATTTCAAATTAATTTAACTAACTAGCTATGACTTGCGGTTTTGCGTTCTGTTAAGCCCCTTTTTTTTTGATGGGTGAAAATGGTATGGTAACCCCGCCTGCCCTAACGGGATACGCTGGTGGAGCACCAGTGAAGTGTGATAGATGAGAATGAAAACAGGCCAGTTAGCCCATCATGATGAATTCATCAGGAATTAACCATGATAGTTTCCAGGTGGAACCGCGAGGAGGTCGACCTGGTTAGGTATATTGCTAGCAATGGGATTCTCAGTCTCCATTACTAACAATCCCTTTCCCCGTGTTAAGCCCCTTTTATCATCGTACCGCTCGCGGTCGACAGGAAATCCATCCTCATACGCTCGAACCCAAATGGACCCGTACAGTGCAGTTTCAAAGAAATATTCTCCCGCGAACGCAAAGGTTTGAACGAGGCCTCTGCCGAAGTTTTTCTTAGAGACTACAATATGAGTTATTTTCAAAAAGAGTGTGTTAAGGTTTTTTTTAATGGACGATAATGGAATGGTAACCCCGCCTGTGCTATTGGTATACACCGGCGGGGCACCAGTAAGGGATGACAAGTGAGAATGAAGCAGGTCAGTTAGCCCATCCTGACAAATTCAACAACGAATCAATCATGATGGTTTCCAGGGGGAACCGCGTGGAGGTCGACCTGATAGGGTTTATTGCTAGCAATGAGGTTGCTAATCCCCATTACTAACAATCCCTTCTCCCCCCAGTGTATTACGGTTTGTTCAGGGTCAATAACGTGCGCGTGACACCTCTAGTGTTTTTTTTTTATGGGTGAAAATGGTATGGTAACCCTTCCCGCGCTAACGGGATACGCTGGCGGAACACCAGTGAAGGGTGATAGGTGAGAATGAAAACACGCCAGTTAGCCCATCATGATGAATTCATCAGGAATAAATCATGAGAGTTTCCAGGGGGAACCGCGAGGAGGTCGACCTGGTTGGGTATATTGCTAGAAATGGGATTCTCAGTCTCCATTGCTAACAATCCCTTTCCCCCCATATCTAGTGTTGCAGGCGTCCATAGGCTACAGTAATGTGTTTACCATCAGACGGGCTGTATGCTTCTTTGGCGTGGTATAAAATAAAAATACAGTGGTACTTATTTTTAAATTGCGACATTTACGACACGACAGTAAAATGACTCATGTCGTATGTCATTATTAAAATTCCATATAAAGAAAGTCGCAAACAACAATTAAATCGGTTTTATGTAAAATTATACAAGACTTACCTATGTATTGTGCAAACCTATATTAATATTGTACAGAGGAAAGATTTTACTGTTTGTTTGTGATGGATTTTTTTTTATACAACTTAGAATGGCAAACAAGCTGACGGCCCACCTGATGGAAAGTGGTATCCGTCGCCTATAGACATGAGCAGTACCGTGGACATAACAGAGTATACTGTTTCGCCCATGATACACCCCCCATGCGTTGCCATTCCTGAGGACTCAGGTGTTATTCCTCTGTACCCAGTAAATTCACGCCATATCCCACCCTTCAAACCGAAATACAGCCATGCAAACACAACTGCTTCACGGTTGAAACACGAATGGGACAGAGGTACCCAAGCAATCGACTTTTGTACAGTCTCCCTCTCCCTACGCAGAAACTACACAAGAGGTTTTAAAAATTCTGTCACTTTTAGAAAGCTACTTTATCAGTCAGTAATCTAGGCTATATATTATTTTTGAAAATTCTATCCACCCGTGCGAAGCCGGGGCGGATCGCTAGTGTAAATGCTGCGACATACATGGTGAAAATATATTTTCGTATTTTATCTTTTGTATTATATTTAAAAAAGTGTAAATAATCTGATTGTATAAACTCATTTGTTAATTTACGTGTGTCATAAATGGCTCAAATAAAGTGTTTATCTATCTATCTATCTAAATATATTTATATTCTAGTAGGTAACAAATATAGATATGGGTGTACTTTTTTTTAATAGATGATAATGAAATGGTAACCACCCGCGCGAACGGTATACACCGACGGGGCACCAGTGGGAGATGATACGTGAGAATGAATGCAGGTCAGTTGACCCACCATGATGAATTCGACAAGAATTAACCATAATGGTTTCCAGGGGGAACTGCGTGGAGCTCGACCTGAGAGGGTATATTGCTAATGAGGCTATTAGTCCTCATTACTAACAATCCCTTTCCCCCCGCGCAAGCGGGGTTACCATTCCATTATCACCCATTAAAAAAAACAAGTAGTTGAATGCGCTTTCGATTCCTCTGATGTTACATGTATTACTGAACTGCGTGACTGCTTATCATCGGGGGAAGGGATTATTTGTAATAAATAACCCCCCTTGCCAATAGTATACCCTGTCAGGTCGACCATCCATCCTCACTCCTCTTGACAACGTCGTCACGATATGGAAGCTGAACTAACTTCATCTTCTCCTATCTTCACTTACTAATACTTCACCAGCTTATACTGATAATAAGTATTTCTATGTTTTTTTTTTAAACACAGGGGGCAAACAAGCATGCGGCTCACCTGGTGGTAAGTGACTACCGCCGCCCATGATCACCCACAACACCAACGGCATTGCAGGTGTGCTGCCGGCCTTTTGAAAAGGAATATACTCTTTTCTTGAAGGTTATGTTGTCGTATCGGTTCGGTAATACTGCTGCTGGAAGTTGATTCCAAAGAGTGGTTGTGCGTGGAAGAAAGTGCCTTGAAAAACGCACGGTGGAGGACCGCCACTCCATCTTAAAGATTCTCTTACTATCAGGCAGGTCATACGCTTGACTGCCTTATCCTTACATAAACACCACTAGAGGGAGACTTTGTACAAAAGTCATTTGCGTGAAGCAGTTGTTTTTGCATGGCTGTGTTTCAGTTTGAAGGATGGGAAATGGCTATGAATTTACAGGGTACAGAGGAATAACACTTGAGCCTTAACAAATGGAGGGTAACACATGGAGGGTACCATGGGCGAAACGGTATACTCTGTTATGTCCATGCTACTGCTCATGTCTACAACGGTGACGGTTGCAACTTTCCATCAGGTGGGCCGTCAGCTTGTTTGCCATTCTAAGTTGTATAAAAAATAATGTAACAAACAGTTAGGTGCTCACCAACTTAGCTTGACTAGGAACATGCTTGAACTGCAAATGTGGCCTTATGAACGAGTCCATTTTGTTGAACCATATCACTGTCGGTTTATATGCATCGGTTTCTTCTCCGGAACTGTTAATTAAACTATTCGCTATCTTCTTCAATTCCTGACAATAAGAGTTCCTCAAGTTCTTAAACTTGATCATCACGTGGCGCGCCTCGAAATTCTCAATGTTCAACTTCTTGGCTATCCGTGCCGCTGCTTTAGCTCTCTTCTCTCTGTTTCTGTAATCTTGTATGGACGTGTTCCATAAGCATTGTTCTTTCCGATATAGATCAATGAGTTCCAATGTCTTCTCGTCGCTTATCCTCAGTATTGAATACTGCGTCTGCTCGGTCATGGTTCGTACGCAGTTCGGTGTAAGTAGATGACAGACGGAGCGAGCGCGTGAGTCCAAGCTTACGTATAGCCGCGTAGCGTGGCCACGCTTCACTGAGGACTGAGAGAGAAGGCAGGATAGCGGCGTGGAGCGGCAACGACGCCAGCGTGCTGCGAGCGTGACTAGTGTTGTTTCGAATCGGCATTTTCCGTTCATTTTGGTATTCGAGCATTTTGAAATTTAAAAGAATCAAGTCCTAGTTCGTGTTAGAAGTCTCGAACTAGGATTTGATTTGGGCAAGTGTTTTAAGCTAATAATCGTTGTTCAGTCTTATACTCAATTGTTCGTTAAGTAAAAAAAAAGAAAAATAAATACAATTAAGTTTTTTTATCGTTAAAATATGTGTACACAACGCAAAAGTTTAAAATTAACTAAAATAAATGAAACTATAAAACAGAAATATAAAAACTTACGCTAAAGACTTTACTAATATTTAAATAAAGCAAGTGTATCCGAATATCGTATATCCGTACTCTGTACATAGTATATTCAAATAATTGAGGACTTAGAAGCTATTAGATTCCGTACCCGAATCAGTCTGACTTGATACATCATTAAACGTTCCATTGGTAACCATTCCATTGGACACACAATAACGTTTTTTTATGGGGTGGTAATGAAATGGTAACCCCGTCTGCGCTATCGGTATACGCTGGCATACGAGTATACGTATCGGTATACGGGGCACCACTGAGGGATAATAGATGAAGATGGGAGCAGGTCTAATGGTTTATCGTGAAGAATTGAACAAAAATTAATCACGATGATTTTAAAGGGGAACCGCGTGGAGGTCGATCTGATAAGGTATATTGCTACCGCTATTGCTATAGGGCCGTTAGCTCTCATTAGGTACAACCGAATTGCTTCCCCCGCACAATAGATTTATCTATATTGTTTTTTTAAAAAGAACGATTTTAAAATAGTGTTGTGAATCGTAATTTTTGTATTTATACTCGAATAAATCAGTGTAAATTAAGGACTATTCGAGAATAAAGGTTATTATGTTGTAATACATACATCCTTTTCACACTCATGTGAACTCATTAACAAATGTGAGATAGAGAATAGCGCGCCTAAGATGTGGACAGCACACGCCGTATGCCTAAATTATTAAAAAAAAAATAAACACTCTCCTAAATATTATTTGACGAAACAAAAGCCAAATATTTATCACATCGCAGCGTCAATTTATTTTTAATGGCAACTAAAAGTAAATCGTTGATAAAAATAACAGAAATAACATTTTCCTTTTTCATTTATAAAATTAGGCACAAGTGTTTATTATGACAGCTACAATATCTCCTATAAATACTTATCTTTATACTGTACATGTGTAAGATAGGTATAGGATTTCTTTAAAAAAACAATAATACCGCAAGGAATAATCAACCTACACAAAGTGCAGCCAATGCGTTGCGTCAGCCGAGTGGCGTGACTTGACGTCAACGGGTTGAATGCACTCAAATTATACCTCTCCCACATTCTAATAAGGTGCATTATAATATTGCACGTTGTAAATAACATTAATTGCATTAGAATATAGACCTTATGCGTCTAGAAATATGAGTGTACAGCGGGAAAGTATAGACAAAGGTGCCGCCACTGAGTCTGCCGAGCTAATATGTTCTTGAAAGTCGTTTCACACTTGATAAAGTTGATAAGATAGTTTTTTTTTTAATGTTATCTACTCAATAAGTACCTAGAATGGTGATTATGTTTTTTGTATTGAATCGTAGAAAAAGCAACAATCATTTTATAGGAAAATTGTGTTTATTTTTTTCTTAGTTTCTTTAAACCAGAAGGAGACTTTGTACAAAAGTCGATTGCTTGGATACCTCTGTTCCATTCGTGTTTCAACCGTGAAGCAGTTGTGTTTGCATGACTGTGTTTCGGTTTGAAGGATGGGATATGGCGTGAATTTACAGGGTACAGAGGAATAACACCTGAGTTCTCAGGAATGGCAACGCATGGGGGGTATCATGGGCGAAACAGTATACTATGTTATGTCCATGGTACTGCTCATGTCGGCTGGCGACGGTTACCATTTTCCATCAGGTGGACCGTCAGCTTGTTTGCCATTCTAAGTTGTATAAAAAAAAAAATTTAAAAATAAAAAAGATTTAGGTAGTTCCTTTTTTTGTACCGCTGAGGTGGCAAACAAGCATATGACCCATCTGACAGTAAGCGGTTATGCTATGAACGCCTGTAATACCAGGGGCATTACGTTACCAATCCTGTGGAAATCTCTTTACCTCTTTTTTGAAGAACTCCATGCTGTAGTCTCTTGAAAGGACCTCGTCAGGGAGCTCATTCCTGAGTATTCGTTGGAGACATCTGTCTGTATCTGGAGACACTGTAGGGTATAAAAGTGAACTCCCTGTCGATGGCGAGCCGTACGATGGTAGAAAGAGTTCATACAGCGTGCTAATAAAGGTGATAAGTTAAATAGTTTATTTGGCACTTCACGTGCTATGCTCACAGACCTTATCACCCCTTATCATACGAATAATATGGTATGACAGTCTACAGGATTATTACGTATTCACACAATAGGGTTGTCACCTTTTAATTAGACAAATAAAATATTTATACTCATTGTTGAAAGACGAAATAAAAATAAAGTATATTTTTATCAAGTCTATCAAAACTGACAAATAATTCTCACTCCCGAAATTACAGTCAAATGTCACTTGACGATCTACATAGAAAAAAAAACCTAGAAAAAAAAAAACAAATTAAGTAGTTTATTCCATTGATATAATACGAATCTCTCTTTTCATTTAAGAGTTTCCTCTTGTCGGTGCAAATGATTCATGCATCTTCTTCCAGCCAGTTCTATCCCAGGCCACATCCTTGACCTCCCTATACGACATGACACCTAGTGTTTCCTTTATCTGTCCCATGTAGTTATTCCTCGGTCTTTCTTTTCCTCTTTTGCCCTTTATTTTACATTCTGCTAGGCTCTTTAAAAAATTGTCATGTTGTATAAGTTGACCCAGTATTTTGCTTCTTCTATTCTATTAAATTTATACAGAATAATGTCAAATTAGTTTAAAAATCAATACTTTGTTAAAAGGGATCACACGGGTAATCTCATAATATAAGATTACCGGGGGGAAAAGGATTGTTAGTAATGGAGATTGAGAATCCCATTGCTAGCAATATATCCAACCAGGTCGACCTCCTCGCGGTTCCCTCTGGAAACTATCATGGTTAATTCCTGATGAATTCATCATGACGGACTAACTGGCCTGTTTTCATTCTCATCTATCACCCTTCACTGGTGCTCCACCGGCGTATCCCGTTAGCGCAGGCGGGGTTACCATACCATTTTCACCCATTAAATAAAAAATATAAGATTACCCGTGTGATCCCTGTACAGAAAAGGCCACGCCTTCCTTTGCCAAGCGTGTCGTAAGCGGCGACTAAGGGAGAGCGAGGGATGGGCAGCAGCGTCCCTCTTAAAACATCTCCAAAGCCTAACTGCGGTTGCTAATCCGCCTGCCAAGCGTGGCAACTACTGGCAAAACCTCCCTTTGTCCCTGTTCTCTGCTGAACATAAGATTCCCCGGCTTATGTCCACTGCTAATATGTTAATGATGTTTATAAAACAACGGTGGCAACCCTAGCCGTGCATTCGACGCCCGAGCCGGCTGCTACTGTACGCTGCGTCCAATCAACCGGTCAACTGTGCGACTGCCTATAATATCCTTGAATTTGTAAATGATAAGATTATATCAATTAGCAATTATATCTATTACACATGTATATATTTTTATTACACAATTATTCAAAAAAGTCCATGAGTGTTATGTTTTTATGTTTTTATTTTTTTTTATTTGAACAGGACTTCTACATATAACAAGAAATTTTTCCAAAAAAAATTTTTTTATACCACTGAGGCGGCAAACGAGCATACGGCCCACCTGATGGTAAGCGGTTACCGTAGCCTATGAACGCCTGCAATACCAGGGGTATTACGCGCGCGTTGCCGACCCTGAAGAAACTGGACTACTCTGTCATAAGAATGTGTTTTACAACTAAAAACCGACTTCAATCGTGTCAAATATTTTTTTTATTTAAAAAATCCAGTTATTTTGATTTAAAAACTAAACTACGGATTTTGATAACACTTTTATGAAACCAATCTGAAAGTATATTTACCAGAAGGAGACTTTTTACAAAAGTCGATTGCTTAGGTACCTCAGTCCCATTCGTGTTTCTACCGTAAAGCAGTTGTGTTTGCATGGCTATGTTTCGGTTTGAAGGGTGGGATATGACAGTGAATTTACAGGGTACAGAGACATAACACCTGAGTCCTCAGGAATGGCAACGCATAGGGAGTATTATGGGCGAAACAGTATACTCCGTTATGTCCATGGTACAGCTCATGTCTATAGGCGACAGTTACCACTTTCCATCAGGTGGGTCGTCAGCTTGTTTACCATTCTAAGTTGTATAAAAAAAAATATATTCTTTCAGATAAAAATGAATTTGCCAAATCGGTCTAGGGGTCTTCGAATAACTGATGAAGATACATAAAAGTGTTGTATGAGTCAACTAAGGGAGGACAAGGGATGGGCAGCAGCGTCCCTCTTAAAAAAAATTCCAAAGTCTAACTGCGGTTGCTAATCCGCCTGCTAAGCGTGACAGCTACTGACAAAACCCCTCAGGGGAGGCTTATGTTCAGCAGTGGACAGTTAAAGGATGATATGATGACCATGATGACGATATATAAATAAATAAAGATTCCAACGAATTCCGCACTCTCCTTTTTTGATGTCGGTTAAAAATTAAAAAAAAAAATATGATTGAGAAAAAGGTCAAAGATATCATCGTAACACATAGCTTCAAAAGAATAGTCGGGTTGATAACCTCCTTTTCGTGATCGGTTAAAAGTGACCTTGAAATTAAAAATATTTCTACACAATTGCACAAATAAAAAGAACCACTTCAGATAAGGCGGTCGTGTAATGCTCGAAATGTATGAATCATATACCGACTTCACGGATTTGCCATTTGATAATTTCACCGTGTAACGTAGGCACATTATTTCATTTTATAGCCACCTCATGTTTGCTGTAATGCAAGAATTATACGTGTCATACAATCAATGAGTCATACATATATGATCGTAACAGGTGTTAACTGCCCACCAGGTGTAGACTTCCTTCTACACTTGGTGTAGAAGGAAGGGGGGGGGGGGGTTAAATGGATGATAATGGAATGGTAACCCCACCCGCGCCATCGGTATACACCGGCGGGGCACCAGTGAAGGATGATAGGTGAGGTGATAAAGTAGGTCAGTTAGCCCATCGTGACGAATTCAACAAGAATTGTTCACGATGGTTTCCAGGGGGAACCACGCGGAGGTCGACCCAATAAGGTATATTGCTAGCAATGGGGCTGTCAAACTCCATTGCTAACAATCCTTTTCCCGAGGGGGGGGGGGGGGGGTTGAATGATAATGGAATGGTAACCCCGCTTGCGCTAACGGTATACGCTGGTGGGGCACCAGTGAGGAATGATAAGTGAGAATGAAGTCAGTTAGCCCATTGTGATGAATATACCAAGCATTCAGCGCAATGGATTCCAGGAGGGACCGCGTGGATAGATAGGGTATATTGCAAGCAATGGGGCTGGTAGTCCGCAAACTAATAATCCCATCCCCTCTGGCAGACAGGTTGGACCTTTCTAGGATCATTTGCTTGTCTGTCTGTCCATCCATCTGTCACAGCCACTTTGCTCTGAAACTACTGGACGGGCTTATGGGGGCGATTATGTTCAGGAGTGGACAGCAAACAACAAATTTGCATCAGACTTATGGGATAAAGATAACAAACTTACAGAATCTTCACCACACGAGTTTAACCTGTACTTGTTTAGTTTATATTCTATACAAATAACAATGCCAGCAATCTCATTGGGGTAAAAATTAATCGTCATAGATGATTAATTTTTACCCCAATGAGATTGCTGGCATTGTCGCGACATCGGCAATCTTCGTGACTCTTCGGTTCCCTTCGTATCGATGGACTATTTTGTTGTTGACGCGTTTGCATTTTTATGCGCATCGACAAAATAGCGTCGTAAAAAATAGGCCAAAACATGATTAAAATATTAT